TAGCCGGGTTTTAGTAAGGTTAAAAACAAAGCCAGTGTCCAGAGTTTCCATTCTGTGTTGCAGTCGGGTCCAGTTCAGCATCAGGCTAGTTACATTCATTAGTCCATTGTGAGTGGGGATCCACATGGCCACGGGCCACACGGGGGAATGTCAGAGCCCCACAAGCCAGAAGTCAGCTGAGAACACAAGACCAACAAAAGAGAAAACTCCTTTGTTTAGGGGATTAAATATCCCAAATTTCACACCCTTACAGTAGCCACACCCATTCTGGACCATGACCTATTCTCAGGTGTGACTGACAACAAGCAGCTTTGATCATCCCCCCAACTTTACTGGGCATGCGTCTGTCTCCCCCCTGTCCAGTCCCTTCCCCCAGCGATCTGCCGGGAATAGATTAGTGGCTCCCTGGAAAGTGTAAATAAAGCTTTAACCTCCTGATGAAGCTGTCCAAATGACATGCCTGTAATATTTGGCCTTCCATGTTACTAATAACTAGAGGCCTGGTGCACGAAATTCATGCACTCAGGGTGGGCGGCGTTCCTCAGCCTGGCCTGTGCCCTCTCACAGTCCAGGAGTCCTCGGGGGATGTCCGACTGACGGCTTAGGCCCTTAGCACTGCAGCAGAGGCAGAAGAGGCTCCTGCCACCACCGCTGCACTCACCAGCCGTGAGCCCAGCTCAGGGCTTCTGGCTGAGTGGCACTCCCCCTGTGGGAGTGCACTGACCACCAGGGGGCAGCTCCTGCATTGAGCGTCTGCCCCCTGGTGGTCAGTGCACATCATAGTGACCGGTTGTTCCACTGTTTGGTTGATTTGCATATTAGCCTTTTATTATATAGGACTAGTTTAATTACAACAGTATCACTGTCATCGGATGTCAAAGGTGTTTGCTGAAGTAGTGCTTTGAAACAGCCCAGCATTACCCTTATCTCAGGCAGTCACCGATGGCATGACATCACAGAGTGAGTAACTATTCATGGCCTGTGACTGTCCCATTACTCACACCCTCTTCTGCTGATTAGGCAGCCCTCTGAATCCGTATCCCACGCTGGAGGCCTCACTACTGCACAGTAAGAAGCTAACTAGACTTGAACCTTTACATTTATGAAAAAATAGACAAAGCTGGTTTGCATAATTCATTGGGCTGCTTCTCTTTGAATTTCATGTATAATTTAAAAATTTCTTCCTATTATTCTCACTTTCTAACACTGGTCTAATCATTTTTCTAAACAGTTCAAAAGGAAAATTGTCATAGATATACAGCCTGTAAAATTCTTCTTTGTTGAAAGTAAGTCACGTTGTCAGTATTTCATTCAGAAGCTGAAATTTGCTTTCCTCTGTGCTTTTGAAAACCTGAAAGCAGTTTCAATTCACCTTGCATCCTATACCTGTCTTTTTTAGCAATGCAAATACATAGTTTCCTAGAAATGATTGTCTCAAACAAACAGCCATGTGATGATATAGAAAAATTCTATCTATTAGCAAAGAGAAGTACTTTATTAAAATGACTTGTAATTAAGTGTATGTTTAATTGTACCTGCAGCCATGACGATGTAACATGTGGGACAGTCAAGTAGACATAAGCCTCATTCAAACAACATTCTGCAATAGGTGCTGCTTGCCTATCTTTGCCCTCTCTGGGCTTTGCAATCCTGGCTGTGATAGTCAGGGCCCCAGCTCAGGTGTCCCTGGAGAGTTCTTTAACTTGGGACTTTATGAAAGCAAGAAAATGACTTATTGAGACTACACATTGGGGAAAACCCACATTATAGAGTGAGGCCTATGTATTTGAATTACACAATTGACATAAATAAAAGTATATGAATAGCTGACACCAAACAACATACAGTCTAGAATTTGCTGCCAGCTTTAGCCTGGAGTGGCTGACGGAGTGGTCCTTCACTGACCACCAGGGGGCAGCTCCTGCATTGAGCATCTGCCCCCTGGTGGTCAGTGCACATCATAGTGACCGGTTGTTCCACTGTTTGGTTGATTTGCATATTAGCCTTTTATTATATAGGACTAGTTTAATTACAACAGTATCACTGTCATCGGATGTCAAAGGTGTTTGCTGAAGTAGTGCTTTGAAACAGCCCAGCATTACCCTTATCTCAGGCAGTCACCGATGGCATGACATCACAGAGTGAGTAACTATTCATGGCCTGTGACTGTCCCATTACTCACACCCTCTTCTGCTGATTAGGCAGCCCTCTGAATCCGTATCCCACGCTGGAGGCCTCACTACTGCACAGTAAGAAGCTAACTAGACTTGAACCTTTACATTTATGAAAAAATAGACAAAGCTGGTTTGCATAATTCATTGGGCTGCTTCTCTTTGAATTTCATGTATAATTTAAAAATTTCTTCCTATTATTCTCACTTTCTAACACTGGTCTAATCATTTTTCTAAACAGTTCAAAAGGAAAATTGTCATAGATATACAGCCTGTAAAATTCTTCTTTGTTGAAAGTAAGTCACGTTGTCAGTATTTCATTCAGAAGCTGAAATTTGCTTTCCTCTGTGCTTTTGAAAACCTGAAAGCAGTTTCAATTCACCTTGCATCCTATACCTGTCTTTTTTAGCAATGCAAATACATAGTTTCCTAGAAATGATTGTCTCAAACAAACAGCCATGTGATGATATAGAAAAATTCTATCTATTAGCAAAGAGAAGTACTTTATTAAAATGACTTGTAATTAAGTGTATGTTTAATTGTACCTGCAGCCATGACGATGTAACATGTGGGACAGTCAAGTAGACATAAGCCTCATTCAAACAACATTCTGCAATAGGTGCTGCTTGCCTATCTTTGCCCTCTCTGGGCTTTGCAATCCTGGCTGTGATAGTCAGGGCCCCAGCTCAGGTGTCCCTGGAGAGTTCTTTAACTTGGGACTTTATGAAAGCAAGAAAATGACTTATTGAGACTACACATTGGGGAAAACCCACATTATAGAGTGAGGCCTATGTATTTGAATTACACAATTGACATAAATAAAAGTATATGAATAGCTGACACCAAACAACATACAGTCTAGAATTTGCTGCCAGCTTTAGCCTGGAGTGGCTGACGGAGTGGTCCTTTGTCCCCGTGGTGGCCAGTTTCCCCTTCTTCCTGTGTCATCTCTCAGTCAGAGTCTGTGCATGCTCTGTGGGGTAGGGAGGTTCTTGTCCAATCAAGGTCGCACTGCAGTGCTATCGGAGAATGCACCGTTTCTATCAGAGCATTATGGACACTTCTCAGATTCTGTATTTGTAAAGTAACTGTTGAATCTTTACATTAATGGGGGAGGGGCTTTTAATTGCAAGAGACAGAAACTCTCTGAAGTTACTTTCGTGGAAAAGGCGACTTATTGAAGGGATATACATTCATGCAACTATAGCAACTAGCTATTTCCCAGTCTCTCATGGGCCATATGGTTTCTTTCTTCCATTGTGTCTCTGTTTCTCTTTATCTGTTTTGTTCCTCTTACTTTTACAGATAGAATTCTTTGGCTTCCTCATAATTTCCCCTCCCTCATAAGTTCAACTTTCACACGCCTCTCTTGGCCTCCTTCCAAATCCAGAACTTTAAGCTGCAGCTCCAAACATTAACTGACTCAGTCTCTTTATTGTTCAACTTAAAGTCCCAGAGTGACATAGACTATCAAGGACTTTAATACTTGTCTCTCCCACCAGCCTGTATGTCTCTTGAGCATAAGGATATTATCTGCTTTCTTTGCCACTGGATACCCACAATGCCTAGCACAAAATAGTACTGAGTAAATATTTGATAAATTAATAAAACATGCAGAAAACCATCTGAAATCTACTAATAAATGTTCTTGGAGGGAAAGGTTTCCGTGTGAGTTAAATTGGCTTGATCTTCTCAAACACCAGTTGATTGGGATTGAAGTCATCTTATTCAGGGTCAAAATATTCAGTAAAGAATAATATGATGAAAACATTCAAATAGTAAGTGTTGGGGGAGAGATGGTTTCCATGGTGACTTCTGCTTCTAGAAGCCCTCACACTAATGAGTGAGTCAGTTGACTCACCACAAACTCAAAGTCGTCCAGTTGCCATTAACCTGCAATCCAGCCGCAGTATTAGTGCTGATGGCAGTAACCCTGTTTGATTCATTCTCTGAGAGGTTCTTGTTTTGGCAAAAAGAGCTAATAAAAGCAAGTGGGGGGGTGGAGGTGGTGGGACAGAGAAGGTGCAGATCAAGCTGTCATGGCTGGGGTGTGCTTTCACTTAACTATGGAGTGGCCTTTCTCTCTGCCATGGTTTTCTGACTGTCCCTCCAGGGAACCTGTGTCCTGGGTATATTCTGTCTGTGTTCCCGATCACATGCAGTGACAGAGGGGCCGGCCACTCTGCTCCTTGGGGAAGAAGAATGCTTCTTGATTATAGGCCATATGAAGTTGCTACTGCCTGAAGCATGGACACCACATACTTCTTGTGTGACACCCCTCCCCTCCCACAATGAAATATTCCTCATTCTGGTCTTTTTAAAAACAATGTCACAGATTTCACACAATGATCTAAGTAAATGTTATTCCCTTCAACATAGTTACTTGGGGAGATGAAATGTTTAATTCCAAAGACATGGCCATTGTGCAAAACATTTTTAGAACTACTCTTTCAGTACCATTAATTGCTTCTTTCATATTCTGAACTAAGTTTAATTCAACTCTATAGGAAGATATGGATACAGATGGGAATACATTATCTTTTCACTATATTCTACTTATAACCCGTTTATGCTTACCTCATCTTTTTCTTCTAAATAATGAAAACGCTAAATATTTAGTGAGCACTCCCATTTTCATGTCAGTGTCCAATTTTGCCCCTGGTTACCTGTGCAGTTCTTCACTCGACTTTAACTTTAGAAACTGCCAGCACCGCCCCTCAGATCTGATATTTGCTGCTGGATACTAGGAATGCTGTGATCTTCGTGGATAGAGTTTTAGGTTTCATTGCCTAAAGCGTGAGGTATAAATGAAATGGATTCTTCTTGCAGGAAATGTTTGATGTTATACTGGATGAAAACCAGCTGGAGGATGCGTGTGAACACCTGGGCGAGTACCTGGAGGCATACTGGCGTGCTACCCACACAACCAGTAGCACCCCTATGACCCCGCTGCTTGGAAGGAATTTGGGCTCCACAGCTCTCTCACCATATCCCACAGCAATTTCTGGGTTACAGGTATTGCCACTTGCCACTCGTGCTTTTACAACCCGACTTTGATTAAGATTCTATAGCAGGGGTGGGCAAACTTGAGGGCCACAATGGGTTCTTAAACGGGACCGGAGGGCCGGAACAAAAGCATGGATGGAGTGTTTGTGTGAACTAATATAAATTCAAAGTAAACATCATTACATAAAAGGGTACGGTCTTTTTTTTTTTTAGTTTTATTCATTTCAAACGGGCCGGAGTTTGCCCACGGCTGTTCTATAGGGAACTTGATTGGGATGGAGACTGAGATTGTCCTTAATCTGAAGAGGGAACCATGTGTGGGCATTATACATTAAAAAAAATCTCAACTATTATTTAATCATGATCTATCCTAGACAAAGTGGCCCGGAAAGTGGCCCTCTCTCTAGAACTTTGTTCTCTGTTCATTTATAATGGCCTTCCCTTAGGTAACTTAATCCCTCTATGCCCAGACTCTGCCAGGAAACTTAACACCTACTCCGTGCAGCTGTGTGTTATTTCTCCGTGTCACTTCTTAAGGACTGTACAGTAGTGGCAAGCTAAGTCAAAGATTTGGGGGCAGAGGGACCTTTTGGCTGCTCTTAGCGAATCCTGCACCATGGGCTCCGGGGTCCTCTGGCTTGCCCAGTCGTTATAGATTGTGCACACAAGTAGAGCTGCTCTGTTCGGAAACAGGGACAGATCCCTGAGTTTTCTTGGGGTTTGGGGGCCCACCTTGGTCAGTGGCTATGACAAGTGTCCTTGAAGGAAGCTGGGGATGAGCACAAGTTCTCTCCCCCGTGTCCTGGTGCTGCACACAGAGCTAGAAGTGGGAGCCAGAGGTAATGATACAAAGTGAATCCTGCCTTTCTACATCAATTATTATTTACCATTTATCAAGCAGCTGCTGGAATGTGGCCAAAGCCCCAGCTGACTGAGGAACAGGTAGTAGTCAATTGAGCCCTCTTGCATCGTGACTAGTTTTGTAATAATGGGTTATAATGACAGTCATAATTGAAGATCGTGTTGCGTTAACTCTGAGATAAATGGCACTCGCTGAAGTGCTATTATAATGGTATTGCTTTTCTACAAAATTGCATCTTTGTAAGCAGAAAAACTGCCGTACAAATGAATAGCTTTTGAGGCTGGAAATGAACATGGGAAATGTACTACTATAAAATATGCATATATTCTGTATACAGTATATATGTGTGCACCAGGACTATTTCTTGCCTTGTTTCACTGACTGTGTGCTGATCTGAGTGTGGCATTTCCACTGACTCATTTGGGTTGGCTCCAAATTGTACATTGTGAAATGAGAAGTGGATGCATGAAGCAATGTGCTTCTGTAATGTACGTAGAAATGAAATGTTGCACTTTATCTATAAAGACAACACTCTTGATTCATCATCTCTAAGAAATCCACCTAGAGTGGTTCTCCCAGCTTCCCCTGAGTTAATGCGGTGCCCTTCATCCTGTGGCCTATTTCTCCTAGTAACCATGGCCTTTAATTGCTAGACCCCTGCCTGAGATTAAGGCACAGGCTGTGACTGTTGAGTGAGTTTCCTTCTGTGTGAAGGTGAGTGTCTTTTAGAGGAAACGTATCTGGATCTTTGGTTTCATCACGATCCTGTTTCTTAACTGAGGTGACCCCTCCAAGCAGGTAGACACAGCTATGATACGTGTTTTCCTATGATTTGAAGAAAAATGTTGAATAACATTTTCTGAGCCATTAAATAAATGTCTGAAGATAATTTCAATTAATGATGTTAGAGGAATTTAGTTTTTATCTGAAGATAGTTTTACATGACATTTCAGTTGAGGAAGCAAGATTTGTAAATGTATCAATTAGTTGGCTACGTAATTGTATAGTCCTTCAGAAAGAATATTACCTTTATGCAGGGCACGGAAACAAATGCATTATTTTATGAGCACAAATCATGTTATTCTGAACTTTATTTCCGAATAGTAGAATAATCCTCATGTTTACAACAGAATTGGAGTTGTTAGGCCTCCCTAAATATATTGAGTTCCATTCAACAGTTAACTTTCAATTCTGTATTTTAAGAGGAAGCATAATCATGCAGCATTATGTAATTAAATTCATAGACTATCAACACTTTGACATCTTTGCATGATATGTCCCAAATAAACAAAATCAGATATGTTGAGCAGATCATTTGTGCATCAAAATTCTTCATTAAGTCAGATATCCGGCATCTTATTGTACAGATCCTACTGTTTGTACATGCATTGACGTGTTCTAGATGAATGAAGCTGACATTATTTAATCAATGAACTATCTGATATTTTTAGAGTCAGCGTGTGAGGCACAGCAACCATTCCACAGAGAACTCTCCAATTGAAAGACGAAGTCTAATGACCTCTGATGAAAATTATCACAACGAAAGGGCTCGGAAGAGCAGGAACCGCTTGTCTTCCAGTTCCCAGCATAGCCGAGATCATTATCCTCTTGTGGAAGAAGATTACCCTGACTCATACCAGGACAGTTACAAACCCCACAGGAACCGAGGATCACCGGGGGGCTATAGCCATGACTCCCGACATAGGCTTTGAGTCTGCAAGAAGCAAACAAACAAACAAAAATTCATCTGTTGACAATTTGCCATAGCACTGCTAGGATAAACCAATCATCTTAACTTGGCAAGTACAGCACAGTATTTACTGTGTTTATGGGCTGCTGTCATTTGATGCTAAATAAGGGGCAAAAAAAAAAAGAAAAGAAAAAAAAGTACATCATGCCCTTAAGTCTAGATGGATATTAGATGCCCAATCATATAGATATTTTTAAGTGCAACATTTACATAACAGTACCTTTGTTTTCTTCATTAGATTTAGACACATCAATTTGTAAGTTAGGGTACTTATCAAGGCACATATAAAATAATTTCCCATGCTGGAAATTCCAAATGACCAGTTCCAGTTGGAACCAATTTATAAACCAATTCCTGTTGGAATTTGGGTGAATCGACTAGAAAGTCTACTTGAGCATGTGGCGATCCATTAAAAAAATCTGAAAAAATAACTGATTAATGAGGATATCAAAATACCAATAGAAGCCAAAACCAGCTATGGTATTTATTTGCTGGAAGCTAAATTTACACTTAAAGTTGGAATGTATACACATTTTAATATATGTTAATGTTTCCAAAATGGCTTTTCAAACTTACCAAATGTATTGATAGTGCCAAAAGAATCTCAAATTAATACAGAAAGTATACAATCTTCTCATATTTTAATATTTTTATTTCTTTCCTGGCACAGCTGTTGTTTCAAAGTGTTTTGCTTTTCGTTTAGTCACTACTGTTATTTCATTTGAAGTTGGGAAAAAAAATCTCAAAATTTCTTTTGCAGTGAGAGAGAAAAGGGAAGCCCAATCATAGCAGGTTATGTGAAATGGAAAATGGGTGTTTCCCCTTTAATAAATCTGAGCACAACTATATACATCCTGAATCTGAAGTCAGGGAGTAAGGATGGGCACACATCCTCCTGAGTGCAAAGCTAAACACCTCCAGGTGGGAATTTTTCCATCCACTTCACAAACACGGGTTCAGTATTTCCCACTAGGCACAACTGAATATTTTTCATTGCCTCACTCAACCTCTGTCTTTGAATATCTGAATGCTCTAGCCCTTCACCAAATTCTTTATAATTATTCTAAGGATGTTAGTTTTATATAGACACATTCAATTTTGATATTGAAAGATGTGTTTGTACCAAACAATTAATTGAAAATGTGAAAACAAGTGATGAATGTAAAAGCTTGCAATGAAAAGAAACTCATTCAGAACATATTTGTTCACTAAACTTATAGTATTTTTATTGCAAAGGATTATAAAGAATTTGGAGATTGAGCTTCCTTATTTCTAATCAACATTCCTCTTCACATATTAAGTCTTCACAGTTTTTCCAGTGGCTATAATTTTGGAATTGGTGACCTTCTATCTTATATTTTTAAGGAAGACTTAGATTCACTATGATCCAAGAAATTGTTGAAATTGACCATTTTATACAATACACAAATGTCTTTAGGAAAAGGCTCTTGTTTCTAAAAGTCTACAATGCATGCATTTTTCTAAAGCCCCAGTTGGACCATGCATAAAAATCCTTTTGTACTGGTACATGTCATAAAACCTATTTTTTGGAAACAATAATAATTCATTTTCTATTATCTTTTTCCCTCCACCAAGCCTTTCAATATTTAGGCTCTCGAAGCATGCACCAGTTAAATAAATTTCCTGGCCATGAAAATAAGTTTCATATTCTTGATTAATTAATTATACATATGTTAAACCCCATTATGACTTCCCACATTCCCTCCCCTCATGTTCACTGTGCATATTCCATTATGTTTAGCTGATAATGAGGATGCCTATAATTATGTAAGTTATCTCAAATATTTGATACAACTAAAAATATGGGCTCAGTAAATTCTAAAAGTTAATATGTGTTACTGGCTTATGAAGTTCTTTTGTCATCTAGTGAAGCTTACAGAACTTTCAGTTAAGACATTTAAAAGAGCTGTATTCATTATGCACTTTAATAAACATATAACCTGCCATTACTGAATACTTTGTTAGAGCACAGAAGAGCATTTTCCAGTAAGCAAAAATATACTTATTACATGTACAGCACATACTTGCATGAGAAAGAAAACATTAGCCAAAACATTTTTCTAGATGCTTTACTGGTTTCTTGTTTGTGCGCATTACAGTATTTAATTGCAAAGAGTGCACCAAGGTGTCTGAATTTAGACTAGACAGCTGTTCAGCTTTTTCTGTAGTAGCATTAGCAACCCGGTCATTTAACTACTTTAAAATATTTACATTTTATGGCAGGTAGCTATAACAGTATTTACATATATTTCCTAGTCAGCAAGATTTTCATATTTTTTCAACTTTTAAAAATCACTTGTTTTTAAAGGCCTCTCAAAGCCCTGTTTCTAAGTCTTCCATGTCATGCTGATAAAGAGAGAGGTCCATTTAAAATCTGCACAAACCAATATGTCATTTACCATAAAGTGTCCATATGTGTTTTGCTTTGCATTCTTACTCAAAAGCTAACAATCTTGGAAAGGATATAATGTATATTTTCTTGATGGATATATTTAAAATTTTACTTTGATATGGCATATTTCCCCCATTCCTTTTGTAATGTTTATCTTCTCCAAATGAATAAGAGATGCATTTTCCTTTTTTTTTAAGCCTTAGACTTTATTGTGTAAATGATACTAAAATACAGATATATGCTAAATGAAAAGTTTTATTTTTGCCAAGCATATCAAGCACCTTTGGAAAATACATATTCTACAAGTACTTTGTTTTTAACTGATTTCATTTGAAAATAGAAAATGATAAGCAGGAGAAAGAAGTCGTATAATATTTTGAGGCTGTTTTAACTTGTAGTATAAACCACATATTCTGTGATTTTGGTATATGTAGTTTCAGAATATGTAAGTTACATATTCTGTCATTTCAGTCATTGAACATGTAACCATGTAGACTCATGTGACGATGTGGAAATGTAGTCCTGGTAAAAAAGGAATGCAACTTGTCAATACTGATGTTAATTCTCAAGGCTATAATATGACTTCAATATTATACTCAACAATGTGATCTTGTTTACTCCAATATTTAAGGGAACGCTTAGCAATGTTTATAAATGACTAATGATTCTCTCTTATCTTTTTACAGTTCCATTGGAAAGAAAATTAAAATTATTAATTTAGACTGATAGTCTTTCCTAATAAGAGAGTCTTAATTATGTGATGATACTTCATTGCACTTAGTCCTAAAGGAAATGAATTTTTTAAATATAAAACAAATTCTGAGCAAATTATTTGTTCCCTTGAAATAATTTGTCAGTTACTTTATTTATTATTGTTGTTTGCAAAATGTATTTTTGGAATGTTAACCTCTTTTCATACCTGCATACTTGAACTTGTCTGTTGTGTGGGGGCCTTAAAATTCATAATAAGAGCTAGGGCAGTGAAAGGGAGGGAGAGACGAAAATCATGCCAGTAGTTGGTTTGCAAATTTCAACTCTTTGAATGAACATATCATAAAATGTTGTTGAGACCCAGGATGTCAGTTAAGAATATTGCTAGGCAACCTTATTTTGCATGCTAGTATATTTTCTTAGTTATACAATTTTATTTTGGTATTTGCTAAGAATAAAAACAATATAATTCTACTATAGAATTTGCCCTATATATTGATATTTATACTACCTCTTCTCTACAGAAGACAAGCAGTCTTTAAAGAGAAAAATACTTTTCAATAAATAGTGATCAAATTTATTACTATTACTGCTAATCTTGCAGCAAAGCTAAATACATAAATTGTTAAAATATACCTTCCCTTTAGATTTTAAACTGTTTCCAAAATGCTCTTGTCACCCTTTCATTTCTTCCACATTAGTGAAGTTTTCTTTGAATAGGTTCACAATTTATTAGGAAGCAAGGTTAATTTAATAAGTCGTTCATCATAGGGAACAAATCAAACTGCAGGGGAATTATCTTTGTGTGCAACTTGTTATAACATCCAGCTCTAAGTCTGAAAGATAGTAGATGCAGATACTTGATGTTTAAGTGCAGCTGGTTTGTAAATTCAAACTTTGTTGAAGCTTGACTTCTCCTGCGGATACTTAGGCATTTACTGGGTAAGAATATACATTCTCTTGAACTCCTATGTCATCAAAAAAAATATATAAAATATTTCAAATAAATGGGAATGTACCCCTTATTTCTTTCCTATTTCTGCCTTTGTCTTTCATGACAATAGTGCATGTCATTTTCTTTTTAATTACATAAAACTCATATTTGAATAACTATATGAATGGAAAACATTATAGGAAATTATGTAATAAAATTTGCTTTATTAGCTCCATATACCTTTAAATATTGTTCATACTAAGTTACTTACTCAAGCTGTGTCTGTAGGTCAGAAAACAGTCCGCTCTTTTAAATGACAATCATGCTCACTGTCAATACCACAGCTGTCAGACAACGAGGATAACTGTTTTGTTCACTTAAATGTCAAGTTAGTCAAAATAGTAACATTGGCTTACATGGACAGACAGAGAGCTACAGCATTCAAAAATTACTTTTGAAAGGTTTCTTCTTTTCTTAAAACATTCTCAAATGAAATACATCCTCTTACAGCAGCTATCTCTGTCTGCTTATGGATGATTTAATCCCAAATGCTTCATATAATCGAGGGACATTATGAGAAGACTAGGAAATATCTCAGCAGATAATCTTGACTAAGGGCTGTAACTCCCACTTACCATGCAAAAAATGTATAAATAAGTGAGTAGCAGTGAGTTTTGGGGAGTCATAGTTACATATGAAACTTTCTTTTGTTTCTTTTGATGTGTGTAAAAGGTGTGCAGAAAATTGTAAAAAAATGTTTCTAATGAATTTAGAGTGGTTTTGGAAATACACTGATGCTTCCTGTTTGAAAACTGTAAGGATTTAAAATGAGAACTATTTAAGAACCAAAAGTAGCTGGACTCTAGCTTTCAATACTTGGTAAGTGTTCTTGGTTACGTTTTGAACACTTACATTTCTCAACAAATGGCTATGTCTATATTTATGTAGGGGCCACTCTTGCCCTACTTGCATGCCACTTTTACACACTTTTAACTGAAATCAGTGTGCATCTTGTATGCACAAAGGATGTATTAAAGATGCAGGATTATTAATGCTACATTGTTGCATACTATTTTTCATATGCCTTACAATATTTTCTCGGATGTTATTAAAATGAAAGCATTTTATTCCCAAAATAAATCTATGTTGTTACTTCTCATCTGCATTACACAGTAGAAAAATAATGTAGCAAAAACATATATTGTACAGTATAAAATTATAAAAGATATATATTTTGCCAATAATATGAAAATAGATTGAGGAGAAAGAAGCACATTTGTTATAGCACAAACTTACAACAATTCCACTGTTAAAAATTGGCAGTTGTATTTTTTAAAAGGATATAGATTTAGTTCTAAGTTTTACCAGATGTATTTCATTTATCATCTTTCTAACTTGCTGCTTAATACTTTTCCAGCAATTTGCTTCAGAGCCTTGCAATCGATGGATGTAATTTATTATACTTTATTCCCTTCCAGAAACATATTAAATTTTATTTTGTGATAAGATTCGTACTATATTTACTGTTCTTATTTATTCTTCAATCACAACTACAAAATGTAACAGAGAGGTGAGCTCATAGGGCTCCTCTGAATTCTGGACATGTTTGAAATGTTTTCTGTTTTTCACAGCCTAAAGTCAGAATGATAAATAAAAATGTCCCAGCAACAAAGAAGTATTTAGGGATTCTTCAATCTGTACTGAATACTATTTTGAAACATAAGTTAAAGCCATTAGCTGTTTGTGTGTGTGTTTTGTTTTTTTTAGGGGTGGCAGGAGGGAAAACAGAAACTTACAAAAACCACAAATAAAAATGGCAATTGGATATAAAATGATGTTCCCTACTTTCCTGAGGGCTGTTGATATCCCAAACCACTGCTGTATTGCCAGCTACAAATTGGGGGGGGGCGGTGCGGGGGAAGATTCCACCTTTGACAAGTAACTTTTTTTCTTTCTTTCAACATTACCTATTATTTTGATAATTTGCCCCCTTTTATTTTCTTATATAGGTGAATGTGTAGCACTCTACAAGGCATGCTGGGTAACATATACTATGCAAATGTGTACCGTGCTGCATGTTTTGATCTCCCTCTGCTCTAGTGGCTTTAAAGGAAAAAAAATGTGTTGTTATTTTTGTGAACCAAAACATTTAACAGAGAAAATGCAGAGTGCATGCATATAGTATCCTAATTTCTATGGATTTGTTTTATGGAATTTCAATGTGTACAAACCAACTGCATTAATTTTTTTCTTTTATATAATAAATGAAAAAAAACACTGAAACCAGCATTATACCTCTCCTTTATATTATTTCTTATAGAGAAACCAAAAGTCTAAATACCCTGAAAACACATGTTCAATTAAATATGCTCTTTCATTGTTTAAAAAATATTTTTTTAGAAAGGGAGAGGGAGAGAGACAGGGAAACATTGATGTGAGAAAGAAACATTGATCAGTTGCCTATTGTATGCAGCCCAACTTCGGACCAAACCCGCAGGACCTGGGTATGTGCCCTGACTGGAATTGAACCAGTGACCTTTTGATGCACTAGATGATACTCAACCAACTGAGCTGCACTGGCCAGGGCGACACAGATTCAATTAAATGACTATTTCCTGACTACTCTGTCAGGTGTTATGAGTGATCATAAAAGAAGTACTGTAGTATTAGGAAAGAACTTGTAAGTTAAATGCATACACACATGAGATAGGATATTTTATAATATATGTGTGGTATAGTATTGAATACAATATAGGAAAATAAACTAGATAAGCCATATTGTTCACAAGAAAACCTCTAAGTAATTAATTTATTGTAGAAGTTATCAGCTATTTCCAAAGGTATTCTGTACCTGTAGAATTCCATATGGCTTATGGCTTGAATTTTGTGTGCTCGGTGTCAATTGTCCATGTTACAACTTGATCAGCATTTGACTTTTCTCTAATTGCAGAGTCCAAGAAGGTGAAAAGAAATGTGTGCTATGTTGATTATTATTGCTGCATTAGAATTATACAATAATTTATTGAAGCCAAGTTATTTCACAAGCTTCATCACATTTATCCCATCTGACTGCCCTGGAAAACAGGCAGGGCGTAGATTATTAGATCCAACTTCAAATGAAGAAACCAAAGCTCATTGGAACTTTTCTCACTAAAGTACTTCTTTAAAAAAAAATTTTTTTTTAATCCTCACCAGAGGATGGAGGATATGTTTATTGATTTTTAGAGAGAGGAGGGGGGAGAGAGAGAGAGAGAGAGAGAGAGAGAGAGAGAGAGACATTGATGTGAGAGAGAAACATCAACCGGTTGCCTCCCATATGAACCCAAATGGAGGATTGAACCTGCAACCTAGGTATGTGCTCTGACTGAGAATAGCACCCGCAACCTTTTTGGTGTACAAGACAACACTCCAACCAACCGAGCCCCCGAGCCGGGCTCTCTAAAGTACTTTTATCTAAAAATACACATAGTAAATGCTTGTAAGCTGAGAGTTATCTGAAGCATACAAAAGAATCCCTGGAATACAATCAATGTTGACTGAATGAATGGCACCTCAGTTACTGAAGTACTATATAAGGCTGCCCCAACTATCAAGGCATTTCAACCAATAATCACTCCATCAACCTGGCTGTATGCCTGAAGCCACCTTTCTTATCACCAGCACATCTGCACTAATAAGACGGATTGTAGAAACATCGTGCTTGTCCTGTCATACTACATGCCAATTAGAATAGTGGTTACATCGTGGGCTCTAACTCTTGCCTGGGTTCAAAGCCTAGATCTGGAAGGAACTAACTATGAGCTTAGGGTAATCACTTAACTTCCCGGATCTATTTCTATGGAATGATTTTTCTTTTGTTTATGGGTCACATTTTCCTATTCTCTGAACAAATTAAAGACCTGATTGCGGCAACATAAAACACAGAAATTATTTTGATAAAACAAAATCTTTGCTTTCTTGACAAAACATGTTCATAATATCAAGAGTAGACCAATCATCTAAGAAAACTTGTCCTTTTAACAGATGAAAGGATATTAGATTTAGTACGATATTGATATTAAAGTTTATTTTTAAAAATCCTTCTAACAAATTTATTCAATCTTATCCAGCTGATCACACATAAAATTTCTTTCCCAAGATTCCTTTTCACGACACTTTTCTCAAAAATGCAATTCCATACCTTCTATCTTCTTTTACTGAAAACACATATTATTTCCTTCCATATTGATTAAAATTCTTCACTGTTGGAAACCTTAATTTCTAATGACAGCTGAAAAGTAAGTAATTAGCACTCTTTAGACTGGAAAATTTAGAATACATTTTATAACCTCTGGAAACATAGGCTCTTTTACTGGAAAATATATATATCGTTTTTGTTTCGTTTTAACAGGCTTAATTCACTTTGTTTTTCTTGTATAAAATTATGTGCTGGCCATGGCTGGAGCCTGGGCCCTCTGCACAGAAACTCCGGTGTGGGTTTTTATCAGACGGCCTGTGACTTTCTGATAGGGAGGCTTGTTGAATACCTTTGAGGGCAGATAACTGTAGGTCTTGGAGATGGCATCAAGGCGGCCTTGGCACAGCTGCCCAGAGTGGCAGTGCAGCCCGGCCAAGGCACAGCAGTCTTTGATACCTGCCATCAGCTGCAGCTTCTTGGCACAGGGGCTGAGACGAGACCAGTGCCCCTGGGGGTGGGGACGAGGCACATCAGCACAGAGCCACAGGGTGGGTCACCTTGCGAGGGACGGTGTGGGATTTGCTGATTTTGTGCCCCCAGTAGCCTCCCTGCTCAGGGACAATAGAGAGCCTGACCAGGATGATGGGCCCTGGATGGCAGTGGCTCCTTCCTTGGGGCACTTAACACTGAGGCCGACTTGCCCACTGTAGTCCCCAATGGCCACAAATGCTTTGAAGAGGGTCCTCTGGTAGCGCGGGTCTGCTTTTGCACCAGCATAATCTACAAAACCTCATCCTTGAGGGATGCCCCCCAGTAAAAAGTCAATGACCTCAGATTTCTTGATGGGCAGGGAGAAGTAGATCTCCTCCAGGGACTTGATCTTGTCCTTGACCAGCTTGGTGATGGGGAGCCACTCTTTGTCCTCAGCCTTGCCTCCACGAGCTCGTCCTGCCCGGTCCCTGGTCTCAACCTGGGCCCTGATGCAGCCGCCAAGTCCTCCATGAGCCCTCCGCAGCCCCCCATCCTAGGCCCTGCCACAGCACCTCCTCATCTGCCATCCGCTGTTTCCTCGGAGAAGAAATACTGGCAAATACATTTCATAATTGTTTTAGAAAGATCTGCTTTCTGAACAAAGCACAACACAGGTTAATTAACAAATTCAAGTTTATCTAGTTTGTCTGCAATAAGAAGTCAAACATAAACTTATTTAAGAAATAATGTCTCAGTATTTTATCTTATGTGGAAATGATCTAGATATTCAATGATTTTACTTTGATTCATCATTTATTTTAATTTATTAAAACTCTACCCCTGAACGGTTTAGCTCGGCGGATAGAGCGTCGGCCTGTGGACTGAAAGTTCCCAGGTTCGATTCCGGTCAAGGGCATGTACCTTGGTTGCGAGCACATCCCCAGTGGGAGGTGTGCAGGAGGCAGCTGATTGATGTTTCTCTCTCATCGATGTTTCTAACTCTCTATCCCTCTCCCTTCCTCTCTGTAAAAAAATCAATAAAATATATTTTTAAAAAAACAAAACTCTAAGGTTTCATGTTACCAAAAGATTTGGAGGAAGTAAGTAGACATGCTATAAAAGATAAATAATGCCAAAAAGATCACCTAAAAACTTACCAATCTACATCTAATTTTACTTGTTCTTCACAATTATGTCTGGGTTACTTATGAAAATGTCATCGTACTAAGTTACTTTTCTTGCTGACAAGTTTTGCAACCAAGATAACATGAACTTATTTGACCAATAAACCCAAGTAAAATAAAGTATTATAATAGCCCTAAAGACATGCCTATTTAACCACACCAAACGCAAACCAGCTTTAACATCAAATATTTTTTCAAAACACATGATCCTGAAAAGCATTAGCATTAGTTTCTATTATATTTATGAGAATTTTTATATAGGTACTTAATTTCTTTAAACCAATTAAACAGAGATTTTTACAAACCAATTCTAGCAATATCCTCCAGAGGTAAACATACATACACATATAGAAACAGATGCAACCAGAGACCTGATAGTTTCTTTTTAAAATTTCAGCCCTGCCCTAACTGGTTTGGCTCAGTGGATAGAGCGTTGGCCTGTGGACTGAAGGGTCCCAGGTTCGATTCCCGTCAAGGGCATGTACCTTGGTTGCGGGCACATCCCTAGTAGGGGGTGTGCAGGAGGCAGCTGATCGATGTTTCTAACTCTCTATCCCTCTCCCTTCCTCTCTGTAAAAAATCAATAAAATATATTTTAAAAAATAATAAAATAAATAAAATTTCAGCCCTGAGACAGGTACAATATGATTTTTTAAAAATCCCACTAATTTATAACAGTTGGAATAAGTTAAGTTTATTCATTCAGTTGGCTAAACCTTTTTCTTATCAGTATTTGTGGTGAAGACAATTAAGATTTGTATTTTTCCTTGGCAAGGAACCTTAGAGCCAGAGCAGCAGTTTGTTCTTTAAAAAACCCTTCTTGCACCCTAGCCGGTTTGACTCAGTGGATAGAGCATTGGCCTGTGGACTGAAGGGTCCCATTTTGGTCAAGGGAACATGCCCAGGTTTCAAGCTCAATCCCCAGTAGGGGATGTGCAGGAGGCATCTGATCAATGATTCTCATCATTGATGTTTCTATCTCTCCTTCTTCCTTCCTCTCTGAAATCAATAAAAATATCTATATATATAAAACCCTAATATGCAAATAGAATGGCAAAACAACCGAACAATCGGTCTCTATGACGTGTGCTGACCACCAGGGGGCGTGCGAGGAACATGGTGGGCGTCGGCTGCAGCGGGATGGTGGATCAGGTGAGCGGGGGCACCAGACCAAGGCAGGGCCCAAGTGGCTGTCATGGGGCGAGCCTCTGGTGGTTACTGAAAATTCTTTGCTCCTGCGTGCCATGGTCCTGCCCGGTACTTGCACCTGCTGCTGGCACCAGAGCTGCCACTCTCCCCCGCTGCCGGCGCCCGACACTGCCCCTGATTGCGACACTGCACCGTCAGCACATGGGAGCAGCAGTGGTGGGAGCAGGGCTGCCGGCAGAGAGGAGACTGGGGCCACGGTGGGAAGGACTGGGTGGGGTGTGGAGGATGGGCTGAGACCCGCCCTGT